GAAAATCATCTATTTTTTTTTCATTGTGGACATAATCTATACAGTATTTAAATATGCTTTTATTATCTAAAATTATGCAATTAATAAAATAAAAAATGCATTTAAATATTATTTAGTGCATCTGTAGTTTATAGAGCTGTAAAAGCAGATTTATAGCTAATATGTCACATTCTGGTGAAATGTCTGCATAAAAATGCATGAACATTTGTGCTGTAACAGCTCTGTCAAAAGAACATCATGGTGATCATTTGGCAACACATATATGTTGTCTGATGAACTTTACTATAATTAATTATTACTGCTAATGAACACTTGATTAAATTAATTTCCTAAAATATACAAATGATTAAGTGAGAATATAAGGAATTCTGTGTAAAGTTTTCCTGTATTTAATATAATGAGATAGTAAAATTATATCCCTTTTAAAAAAGGAATTTCAAGAGAACCTTTTGGAAAGCTCAGTCCATATACTCATAAACCCAGGAGTTATTTGACTGAGCTTAGGATAACCACAGCGCTGACCCCTGCAATACATTCCTGTCACTATGAAAGCTGCAGAAGAGTATTAGCAGAACAGAAATGATGCCAGAGCAATGCATAGTAACAGGAGTCTTTGCTTTCCGTTTAAATTCACGGCTTAGCGTTAGAAAGCTTCAACCTTCTTGAAACATGGGTTGAAATATGGAATACTTTTCACCTGTCCTACTTCTAGCTTGTTTAACCTGACCCTTTGACCCATCAAATATTGCACTACAGGTTTTGTTTCAGCAATAAACGGTAGAAAAAAAGAATGCATTTTTCACTGAAAGCGGAAGACATAGAAATATACAAGTTGAAGCAATGCTGTTATTTATCTCCTACTTTACAATCATTAAAATATCGAGCATGTTCTGGAAGTCAATTTGCTTTTGTTTCATAATATTGATCCTAAGTTTGTACTAAGTAGAATTTTTGTTTGTAGATCCACAAAGAAATATAATTTGCTTATTTTATGTTATGCAGCACACAATGCACAAATGCTTATTTGCTTCCTGAGACCACTAGAGAAAACTGAAGTCTAACACGGTGTGAGAACAGCACTGAGCTGGTCTGAGCAGTCATCAGGCACATTCAGCATCTCCTGTTCGCTCTTTTATTTTCCCCAACTACCTGATTTTAAACCTGTTTGGTAAATTTGCTTGAAATAGGCCAAGCAGCTCAAAAGGTTTTGCATGGAATGGGAAAAAGTAAAGGCAGGAAGACAGTCTGATCACATAAATAATTTTTCTTTAGGGAATCATGATGAAGTGACTTTTTTCTGCTTTATCTGGAGTGCATGTCAGATYTAATATATGAATATTGCTCCCTGTGTAGGACCAGTTGAAGCTTTGCTTGCATGGCTGCTTAAGATAATAAGTGGGCATAATCCTACATTTGGCTTTCAGTAATGCCAATAGCATCCTGTTATCTTGTTTGATGCTAGCTGTAATGTGAAATAAACTGAATTTCTGAGGTAAATCAATACTCATTTTGACAATAAGGGAAAATTATTAATAAATGAATTTCAAAAAAAAAAAATTAAATACAAATGCAACCCTCAAGAGAATGCAGGGAAGTAGTAGTATTAGCATGGCATCAAGGAGACCACTTTCAATAAGCAATCATACATTTTACTTAATTTTGAATGTTTTTTACGTAAGATGTTGAACTTCGTGTACAAAGACAATCTAATTTAGACAAAATGCAAAACATGCAAGTGCAAACTGTTTTGTATAATAAGCTTTTAACTTATTCTTCTAATGGGCTTAAAAACATAAAAATTAAAAATCAGTGAGAATTTAATCATAAGCAATTTTGCCGCTTGTTTATCAATGTAAAGTTCTCTTTGATTTTTTCGCATAGATACCAATACTTTGTACTTTTATAGGAAGCCCTTACTGAAGTTTCCAAATCTTTTACAAGTGTCATTAATCTACCATACTTACCTGCCTCATGTGTTGTATAATCCTCATGTTAAGTTTTAGATCAGAGACACACCAATAGTTAAATAATTTTCTTCAAGTTGCACAAGCAGATTTGTGATAAACACAAACAGAATTCAGATTTTCTGGATTCTTGTCATATGTTTAGGCTGCTCATCTATTGTAAAATTTTGATTCATGAGGAATTTRGACATTTATGCATGGATACTTCTAGTACATTTACCTTTAATTTCCACCTGTTTCATGGAACAAACTTTGTGTAGGCATGAGCTGACCCTTCGCCAGTTTGAAATCTTATTTGGCTATTAGTGTTTAAATTCAAAGATCTTGTTCATATAAACAAAGCATTCCACTTTCCCACACAAGCATCCTAATGATTTTGTGATATTGTTTGAATAAGACTCACAGTATTTAATCATCAGTATGAAGAATCCTCCTACTTAAAAAAAWTGGTGTGTGTGTGCTTCTGTGTCTGTGTATGACAAATATTACAGCCTTCCCATCTGTCACGTCYTTAAAGATTTATGTAAACTCCATCATTGTTGGAAAAAGAACACAGTAATTACTGAAGTACTTTAATTTTCTGTACAACATTTCTTCTCCTCATTTAGGCAAAGGATGCAACAACTATTGACATACTAATTGTGGATCAAGAGGGTTCTTGTAGTTATATCTCAAATTCTGTCCCCTTAAACCTAGCAGGAGATTTGGATTAATCATACTGACATCAATGATATAAACAGGCAATTCATCTTGAAGCATTCAATAATCTTCAGTAAATGATTAATACACTTTTAATCACAGGATACCTGGTACCCTTTCAGTCAATACTTCTTATGAGGGTAAAAAGATACATTACTGCAAGCTACAGATCATATTCTGTTTTGTTAGATTCAGCTGAAAAATCTTGGTTTTATTTGTGAAAGGAAATATAATCTCTGATTTTTTTTAAAAATCCAGGGTTTTGAAATATTGTATAATATTTTATGGTTTTTTTTTCCAGCTAGATATAATGTGACTATAGAAAATATATTGGTATTTTTATTAGTGGGATTTTATTAGATTTATTATCTCCAAAGGAAGTGAATTTTCTGTGGGTTTCCTGAGAGCATGGTATCGTGCTTTCTTTAGGGCATAGCAACATTCTTTCAGGGAGGTTTGGCAGTCATCCATCATCGATGTTCTCCTTGGAGGTTATCATGGAGCATGGAAAGAGGGCCAGCCCTCTCTCTATGAACAATATCTGCCCAGAAGGGGAAAATGTCCCCTCTCCACAGCTCTAGCTTTCCTCCTCTGACTAATCCATGGTCCAGCAGAAAGTGGCAAGGTGCCTATCGCTGCCCTTTTTGAATATCAGACCTCTGGGCATTTCATCTTGCCACTATACCATGGGAAACGCCGGATGAAGCAGGAGACAATGCAGCTGAAATGTCAAAGGTTTGAGTTCAATTTGGTTTGAAGGATGGCCAAAGGCTCAGATCACTTCTTGTTGTAACTGAACTATTTATAATATACATTGTCACTTAGTTGGTTATATAGCATATTGCATTTGGCTAGTCTGCACAGAAATACTGTCTACTCTAGGTGAGGAAATATACCCTCTTTACTGCAAAGTGGGGTTGAGAACTTTTAARCATTTTTTAAATATTCTTTTATTTAAATATTATTTTATTTTATATATTCTTTTGTATCTCTATTTGGGCCCAGCTGGACCATAACTATGAAAATTTGTATTGTCCCTCTGTCTTCATTTCTTAGTGGCAGCTTTCTTTCTTAGAAACTTTTAACAGAGAAGCATATAAATATTCTGCCTTCTCCCGGAGACTCTATTTTTGTTGTTTGTGATTCCTTTCTTCTTTAATCTCAAGGAAATGTCACTTTACATCCCTAACGCGGTGTTTTCCCTGAGTCAAGCTTCTCAATGCTATATTCTCAATACTGAAATAAATGTGCATATTTTGCTCTCTGCTCWGGGAAATACAGTGCACTTGTCACAGCATTCAGTCTTGTTTGTTTGTTTGAATAGGTGATGTGAAACAAAATGCCTTTTAAATAAGACATAGTTAGATAGAATGTATTAAACTGTGCTACTGATTATGAAACTGTTCATTTGATCCAAAATTCTATTTTTATTTCCAGAACTATACATATATATATATTAAAAAAAAAGCTAATACATTCCCTTTCTGTTCATCATGTTTATTACTATGCACTTTTATTCCTAATACCTAACTGGCTTCCTATGATTCGAATGGTTTTGTCTGCAGATTTACTCAGAGGAGTTATTTCCATTTGGAATAACTAATACTTTGCTAAAAAAGATATCCAGGTCACTTAATTGAACCCAATATTTTCTCTAAAATCCACTCCTTTTTAAAAATATATTTCAAAGTATTTTCAACATGCAATGCCACAGTCTGGAACTGGAATACACTCACTTGTTACTTCATTCATGTGCAGCATATTTTTATTGCAAGTATTATATTAATGGACAATAGAGATACAGGAAAAACATTCATTCAGTTCTCTGCCATAACTTCAAGTAATGCAGAAATACTCGTGTTACAGAATATTAGATACTACTCTGGTATTTAATTGCATTCAGTAACGAAACTAAGATTTTTAACGGTAACACTCTTAGTTATTYCCACTACAGAAGCAGTTCTCTTGTATCATAACCCCCCCGCCCCAGCTCAGATATTCTAGCACTGTGATTGATTCCACCTTCTTAATCCTTAATCAGATATTTCATCTGATATTTGATAAACGGTATTGAATGCACCATCAAGAAAATCTGCCTTAAATGTCATAGGCATTGCAACTCTCAAGTTGAAGGGAACACTTTTTAATATATTTAATTCGGCATTTGCACTAATAAGTTATCCCGCTGTCAGGACACAATTGGAGATAATGGTGCACATCAAGTACSTGAGGCCCTTGATTCCTCCTGCCACCTGAAAGGCTCAGGTGAAACTCAGGCTGACATCAGATAAAACCCTGACTTCTTCTGCTCTCCTTCAGCTGATGATGGTGAATGAGGAAGAGGGTAAATGTGACTGCTTACTGATATTGCTGATGGGGATGTGAAACTTGAGCCCATTAAGCTAAATTTAGTGACAGTAATAGGCAAACTTAGAATTATAATTTCTTTAGGAGGAACTGCAGTGTAATAAAAGAGAGTCAAGTAAGCTGAAAAAAACCCTATTCCTGGATGTTCTTGGCATAGGTGCAAGCTCTGCTGGACATGGTAAGGTTGTGTTGTGCTGTGAAGACTGGTAATAGTTAATTCTGTAAGACTTAGTTTTTATTTCTTCTTCTCTAAATTATATCAAAGTGATTAAGAGGAAACTTTTCTGTACCTTCCTTCTTATATGACTACCTCTCTGAAAAATTTCATTGTCTTTAAACAAAAAAAATGCAAGCCTGAATTTCTAAAGACTTTGTGTTCAATGTGTCTCTCTTTGTAGCATACTGTGGTATATTCTCCYGATCAGCATTTCTCTCCCCTTGTGGGACCAGCAGTACTTTACGTTATAGGAGATTCACATAAAGATTCCAGAGACTTTTCCAAATCTGGCCTGATTTATCGCTGTCTCGTATACTCTAACAGTGCTGAATACAAATATTCAAGGCAAACCCTGCAGCAGATTCATATTCTACTTTACTAAAYTCTTTTGCAGTCTTAGCTCTTAATATTTTTATTAGCTTCAACAATTCTACTCCAATATGCCAAACTCTTCCCCTAAGCACTTTGAACACCCTCTCATTACCTTTCTTCTCTTTCAAACAAACTGTTTTTAACTAAAACATGATATTTTTCTCATGAAAATTTTCTTTTGTTCCATCCCTCAGAATATACCATCTACTTCCAGATTCCTCTGTTGTRTTGTTCATTTGTAGCATTTTGAATTTTGGTGTATAAATTAGATTAAATTATTTAATGTTACTCATTACTCCMTGATGATTTTAAGCAGTCTCTCAATAACCATTGTTTAGTTCTGTGTTTTGTTTGTTTTTTTTTCTCTCTACTGTGTCTTATACATACTTTTAGTAGTCACCAGATAAGGCATTTSGTATAACCAGAAGTATGTATTTAATTGCAGTCTTCAAAATAATTAGGCCTCATACAAAATATTTTACAAAATTTTTACTTCACCAATTTTCTTAATGTTTCTAAAAATGTTCTAAATATTCATACTATCCCATTTACTCTATTCTCAGTGTCATATTTCATATTTTTCCACTTACGGTTTTGAATTCACTTTCAGTAATATAATACATATAATCATCTTACATTTTATTGTAACCTTTCCTATGATAGCACATTCCTTCTGAGCTCTCTTTTGTTTGCTTACGCTTTGATTAGCTAAGTGCTATCAGATCCCCAATTCATTGAAATAGATGTAAATCCACACATAATGTGATGTCACATGCTGTCCTTGTCCAACCTGCCTTTTACTGTACGTTGAGTCTTCAGTTTGTACTAAAATGCAGAGGTGAGCAGTTTGGTATTCTGAGTAATTTGATGTTCTTCATTTGATATGTACTATACACCATTTCTAGCCTCTTCATTGCATCACCTACCTTTTTTTCTTTTTTTTTTTTAATCAATTAAAGGCCATTTGTGAGAAGTAGTCTTGAATTCAAACTAAAGTGGTATGGTAACGCCTTTGTGGCTGCATAAGTGCTGGAGTAGGTCATCTGCATTATATTAAACCTAGTGATGTTTTAATATTCCTGTTGTTCCCTGCCTCATCTTGAGATATTATATATATATATATATATATATGTATATACATACACACGCACGCACACACATATGGAGAAAGAACAACAAGCCTGATGCCTCTTAGCTTGCTAAACAGTGTGGTGGTTGCCCAGGAGGATTCCTGGGTTGGCAAACTTGAAAGCAGCCAGCAGAGAGAGGACCATGGGCTCAAAACTTTCCTGCACCACCAGAGACAGGAGTTTCCTTTTCTGATCTTTTTCCTCATCATAACTACAAGACAAATCTTTCTAGTATATAAGAAAGAGCTCAATGTAGTAAGTTTTTTTTTTTCTTCTTTTTAATATAGGCGATTGCCTGTTTTCAGGAGAGAAAAATATCATCATGCTTTCTAAGATGAAATCTCTGTATTCCATTCTTGGTGTTTTGTTTAGTTGAGTTTTGTAGTTTTTTTACATTTTTCCACCTGTTGGTAAGCTCACGTGTGTTTACATTGGCTGCAGCAATATTATCTCATCTGAAGAAGGAAAACCCTAGAAAATATTTGTATATGAAATGCCTCTGGCACATAAAGAAGGCCCCTTCTGTCAGCCACCCAAAGAGCTGATAGTTGTATACAACCATCTCTGAACATAAGTATGAAAGGGTGATTTTTTTACAGTAATATTTGGAGTAATGACATTCTGCCAAACCCAGAGATGGTATGAGCAGATGCAGTTCCATTGATTTTATTYGTATCCATGTAACCACTTGTAAATTTGGATTTATTATACTTAAGCTTTAGCAATGCTGGAAAATCCTAGCATTGAAGTGGGTGTTTCTGAGTTGGAGATGATGGTTAAGAATGGGCACCTGTGATACATGTCCTAAAACTTCTCTCTTTAACCCTGGGAATGTAGCAAAGACACCGTATAATGCAGGCAATTGGGAGGAGGATTTTCTCTTCTGGCTTAGACATCGTTACAGAGGTAAACCTCAGTTCTTAGGAGCATTATCCTTTCATGAAACASGGGTAAAATGGAAACGATATACATATTGAAGCATTAGCAATTGTTTTCTTGGTGTGAGGCAAAGAYACTTCTTCAGAAACTACCTCAACAAGTTAGGAACCACTGTGGGTTATTTGTTAAACATGATGGTCCCGAATAACATGAACCATTGAAACCATGGTTGAAAACCCATGAAACTCTCATGCAGTCCAGTCTTCTAGGATACCTTTACCAGATTATTGCTAGCTGAAAATCTAGAGATTAACAGGAGCCTTGTTACCATCATTTTCCTTTCATGCTCCGTATCCAAAAGTCTGCTAAAATATAGGTGTTTGAAGGAAAAGAACAATTTTGTGGAATCGTTCTTCTACCTGTAACATTGTGATCAGTCTACTGTGAGATATTCTTTGCATATGCTGATCAAGTAAGTCAATCTGTCAACAAGTAAGTCTATCTGTCCACTTTTCTAAGTAACACTAATAGCGTGCTAGAAATAACCTGACCTAATTTCGTGTAAATGCAAGCAAACAGCAAGTAATTACACAAATCACGATTAAGAAATTGCTAGTAATCAGTAGAATACAAAAAGGAATGCATTAACATGTTCCCAATAATTTTAAAAGGTGTGACTTCTCCCTCTCTTGTTCCAGTGCTTTAATTTCACTAATATGCCAGATTGCCAAGAGCAAGTCCCACTTTTTCAATGGGTTTCAGTGTTGTCTTGTGTTCTGTGATCATGCACRTGAAATGCACAGTCCTGAGCCTACACACAGTGATTCACACTAGTTTTAATTGCCCAATTAAGGGTTACTTCTCAGTAAAAGACTTGCTTTTCAGACAGTTCAAATGCATCTCAGCAAATCCTTCTTGCTGTTGACTTTACAATTACTGCTTTATTTATTGTAGTTTTTCCTGATTCTGTAGACTACTTCCTTTACATGATCGAGCAATGTAGGAAAGCTAAGGGCAAATGAAAGATGAATTTGCATCTAATACCTCTATAAATGTGTGTACCTCTGATATAAAGAGCTGGGTTCCAATTTATTAGAAAGCAGAGGCTTGATCTTGGTGCTATGCTGGGYCCTGTGCCAACCCACAATTTACAGCTGGCCTATATTAATGATTTGTGAGGTACACCAGTTCACAATTTCATGAAAATTATAAGGACCTTGCAGGACAAAAGATTTCTGTAATTCTTAATCGTCATTCTTTCATGGTTACGTCCTAAATCAATATTGTTTTTCTCATTATTAAAAGCAGAAATAAATGAAGTAACAAAACAATGCCAAGTTTAAGTTATAGTGCCATGTTTTCATTGKCAGTATATCACCTTGAAAATTATTTTTTTAAAAATTCTGGGCAATTTGTAAAGTGCATTATAATATGCAACATGATATTGCATATATATCAATATATCTACTTCATATTATACCTGCATAGATATAATTTCACTCTGATGGGATAAACATACATTTCCACAAGGATTCTTTATATGCTACACGTATTAAAACTTCTACTGTATAAGTAGYACTTGCTACAGAGCATTAATAAGAAGTGTTGTTTTAAGGACAGCAATTTACTTTAAACTGCTCAGGATCAAAGTTCAAAATCTGATGGGCAAAGACGTGTAGATGACAATGGGTTTTTCATCTACTCTGTAGCATTTTATTTGTAGTAAAGAGCAACACTTTGACCCAATTCTTCATCCAATTTTCATAAAAAAGACACATTCGCATGCACAATCTTATATACTTATCCTGGCAAAAATATAAGGATAAGTGCAAGCAATAAAGTGTGATAAATTAGAGCTTTTTCTCCCTTCAGTGTCAACAAGCCAGGAACTATTTATTCAGCTGTCTGAACCTGGCAGAAATTGCTTTCTAGAATAATTCAGAAGAAAACCTGCTAGCACTATTTTGGGGGGGGGGGGGGGGTAAGCTCAAGTTTTATATCATTTCCCCCCTTTCTAGCTTTGAATTTGTACAGTGCAGGCTGACTGGGGATGCTGAGGAAACCCACCCAGTTGGGCCACTGATCATGTACTATCACTCAAATATTTTTAAGAATCCAGTCCCAGGTGGCTGTACTTCTTTATGCCTCCTCCCCCAACYGGCCAGGATTGATATACACGTAGCAGTGCATGGGGGCTGTCAGTCTTGCATGTCAGCATAGCTAATTCAGGTGGAGCTTCCTTTGAGATCTCTCTGCTTCCTCCCGTTGCTGACCAAGGCAATTCAGGTCTTGTCCAACATTTCTGGTTATATGTGCATGTAGTCCCCAGGGCAATAGCACAAAAAGCCTTTTTAAAACATTTGCTATTGTAAAATACTGATTTAAGTAAGAAGTTAAAACTTTATTAAGTTGAAATTAACTGGGAAAAGTGTAAGCATATAAGTTATTATAGATTTTATTATTGAAAGTATATTAGGGCAGTTATTAGCCATGTACTTTAAGGAGGCAAAAAAAAAAAGCTGACAAAGGCTGCAGAATTTAAATTTATGATACCTGAGAAAAGACATGGTCCCACTTGTGTGACTGTTCATTTGCATGATAGGCTTAAAATGGGGGTGGATCCAATGTGTCTAGTAAAAATCAAAGATGAGGTGTTAAAGACGGAATTTGTGAGATCAGAATGAGGTGCTTGTGATTTGAATCTACTTTTTAAAATGATCCAGTATATTAGTTTGTTTAACTAATAAACTAATACCTGTTGGTGCTAAAGAGTGATTTCTGCCGTCTGAGCCTGAAGGAACCTTTACTGAGGAGAAGGACCTGTCTTCCCACGCTGCATAACTGTGGGTCAATAGCCCAGGGCTACTGTTTGATGGAAAACCTAAGCACAGAGACAATTTAAACCTGATCCGGAGAAGAAAGGAGACTCCTGTCTCCTTTGGCTCTTAAGGAGACAAAAAGTTCTCAGAAATATTAAAGAAATGTTACAGCCCCTCAAGTGTCATGAAACAAGCCATTACAATGGCTCTTGAGTTGATGTAGACCTAGGATAATTTTGTAATTTACAAATTAATCAAAAATAAACTGACAAGAAAGAAATTTCTTGGTATGACAAGAAATTAAAGAGGAAAGACAACATTGTGCTCTTTACAAATATGTTCCAAGTACAAAAACATACAAACAGATTGCAAAACACATTTATGTTCAGAAAATGCAGACTTCCAGAGAGATATCCAGACAGAGCCTTGCAAAATAAAAGTAGTTTTGGTGAGTAATTATTATTTTTTTTAAGATCATCTTGTCTTCATTTTCTTGGATTTGGAAAATGATTAGTGTAGACTTGGAAAATGACTGTTTAGAGCACAGAGCTTTTGTATTTAATACTATTTTATAGATTTGCATTCCCAGGTCAATTTATGTTATTTAGTTAATCTAGTTTATCAATTTCCTGAAAACTGTTTATGTGTTATAGTCACAGTTTGTCATGTGTTATGTCATAGTTATCCAATGAAGAAAAAAGGATTTGGGAGTTGCCACAAGAATCAGCAAGACAGATGAGAAGGAGAGAGTTTAAGTTTCTTCTGATTCTTCTTCCTAAAGCTTAAAAGACTGAACTTCGGATGAATGAAGATGCCTCCTTTTCAATGAGCCAACTAGAAATTAAATTATTGAAATTATTAAATTCATAATTATCACAAGAATATGGCTCCTTTTCCCCATCAATTTTTGTAGTCTTAGTCATTTTCTGTATGTTTAAAGGCCTATTGGAAAATGCTTTAATTTTTACATTCTCACTTTAGTTAACCAAAATATTCTAGAAAAGCTGAATTTCAAATTCTATGTGGCCTATTTGTTATTGAAGACAGACTAAGGGGTGTATACATTTCAGCATGAGCAAAAGTTTCACAAGGTTCTGTTCAGAAGGCATTCTTACATCAGTTTAAATTTAAATCCACTATGGATTCTAGAGTCAGGCACAACATAAGTTTTCTTTTTTTCTAGTCTTGATCAAAAGGTATTCTCCTCTTACAAAAAAAAAAAAAAACTTCACATTAGCAAATCATACTTTGCAGTGATCGTTATAATTTTTAGTCATTCTCATGCAGTAGCCTATAAATCACAGAGGTCACCAGACCCTACTAACTCACCTTCTAACATCTTTGGATGCTCCCCTGACTTCTGTTGGTCATTGCAACATCTGTAACTCTTTTCACCAGCTTTTAAACAAATGCAGATTACTTTTACAGGACTCAGTTTTGGTAAAGGAAATTTTCTACTTTCTCATATTAATAACCACAAAAACTGATTGCAACTGTATTTCTGTTCTCATGAAATTTCTGCTAAATGGTGACATTCTACAAACTCTTTTAGAAAGCTGTAAGAAAAAGTAGACAATATAAATGAAAAGTTAAATATTTTTATTCTTTCAACAGACTACTATAAACAATGCTATTTTCTAAAATACACTTATTGTCATGGTATCTACTGAAGTGCAATATTCATGACCTAACAATGATATTTTTCTTCTTATATGTATGTTAAATGTCTCTGGGGATACATGTTTCATTCCAAGTATGATCACATATTTAATATTACTAAAAGGGACTTAGCTTTGTCTATGTAACTTCGCCGTCATCTACTTTTTCTTTCTGCTTGCACCTATTTAACAATTCTATGTTTTCAAAGCTTAAAATATGTCATCTTTTTTCTGTTTATAGAATTCTGTGCCTTAGACTAGAAAAGTGTAATGGAAGTCAAACCTCCCATTTACATTTAATATCAATGCTATTTTCTAGACCAAGAATGGATTATTTACCCACCATTATGAGAGCTCTGATCTAATGAAATATGTATATGTGTATACAGAAGATGGAAAGTTAGCAGAGATGTACATATTCAAGTCAAAATCAAAAGTTTTGGCTGCAGCTGAGATTATGTCATCATGTAAAGAAAAGAATTATGGATAAAAGAACAGGATAAAATCCTTCATATAAGTTACTAGTATTAGTGATTCCAGTGGTAACTTGCAGAGATGATCTTTGTTGAATAGAGTCCTTGGTCTCCTGTTTTTATTAATTATATTTTTACGGTTATGGAAATACTAGCTTCCCTGTATGCCAGTCTGAAAATCGGCACGATTTTAATTACAACAGTGGTGTTGCAAGACTTACTTAATTACAGCCAGATTCTGATGATGTATTGAGTAGCCCCAATGAGTTTATTGAGCAGTTCCAGTGACCCCTTGTAGGAAAAGGCGCTATTAGTGTTAGAAAAAGCAGCYCAATTGATTCCTTGGTGTTTAGGAGATCATTTGAAATCCCCAGGTGCTAGATAAATGTAAAATATGACTGTTGTACATAACCCATATGGACTACAAGGAAAATAATTATGAGGCAAAGGGGTTCACTTGCAGGCACCCCGCCTTCCATTGACTTCATTAAATCCCTGGGTGGGAGCAAGAGGCTGCAATTTGCAGATCCCTCTGAAGAACTGGGCCTTTACAAGGTAATCTCAGCATACATCATGTTTTCACCAATGAGTTTGATGGAACATAAAACAAAATTGTGATGACAAGCAAATCCATCAATGGCACACCCAGTAGATTCCAATTACGTTAATTAGAGTAGACTTTCTAATGAGTGGAATGTCAAACACTGGAACTATGCCCAATGCTAATCATTCATTCATTTTGCTGCTGGTTCTAATTCTCATTATGCCAAGGAGGTTTCGTGCATTCTGACACCAAACTATGAGCAAAGTGTTTCTGCTTTAGAAATAGATGCAGAAATGGAAGTACACAGGTTTGACATACTAATTAAATGTGCCAGGGTGCAAGATATATTGCTAAATGTCATTCTATCCCTATAAATGCTGGCATCAGCCAAAGAACAGAAAGGGCATAAAGCAGTATTTATAATAATTCCACAGCATAAGAAAGACAGTGACAGTAACTACCCTGTTATTCTGAGACTTCTACTGAAGTGGCATCCAAATAATAAGGAAAAATCTAGGAGATAACTCTATTATATTAAAAGAGTGCTGAAGAAGAGGGGAGTATCTGAGTATACTGATGCCATRGAGTGATAACTGGATGAATACTAACAACATGATATTCAGCTAAACGCTTTAAAAATGTCCTAAGGAAGAGAGTTCCAGAAAAACTCACTGGAGAAACATAGCATCCTTGCATTCAGGAGATATATCCACACACAGCCAGTAACATTAGGACTTAGAGAGTTAAGTACTGTCTTCTGGCAATTAAGCATGTTTGAGCTTATTTTTACATTAGATTCCTCTGCTGATGAAGACAGTTTTGCACTATGGTGCCCAGCTGTGAGCTGGAGAGGCAGAAGCACAGACATGCATCCCCTCTAACGGCTCTGCTTCCGCAGAGCAGGTAACGGATGCACGGCAGTGCAATCTCAGCTGGTGGCAGATACGCTCTCCAAAAGCCTATCTTAAATCTCCTGGGATCCACTTCTAAATTTGCCATCTACTTGTTCCACAGCAACTAACTTACCACTTTTTCAAGCTCAGGTACATAAGACTATACCTTCAAATCTATGCTCAAGGTGCAGGAAAGCAGAGGAAATGAGCTGTGCAATGGATATGACACGAATGGATATGCCAACTTGAATTGAGTGGGTATTGACTGCCAGCTTGGGCATTGATTCGGTTATTGTGCGAATCCTGAGGAATACAAGTCTGGAGCCTCTTAACACCATGTGAGACACGTGGTTTTACCTGGAGCGGTATTTAGGATATGTGATCTATATTTTGTCTAGCTGGAAGGAAGCTGAAACTAGATTTTCCTCCAGATTAAAGCAATCATCTTTGTTAGTCTGTACTCACTGCTGTAATTAGCTGGGCACTTGTGTTGCTGGAGCCAGGGCAGGTCACCCTCTGCCCTTCCAGTACATGTTAGCAGCACTAGCCCTAGTGGAAAGTGAAGCAGGGCTGCTCTGAGGAAGGTGATATCCCAAGATAGTATAACTTGGGTGMTGTCTAAATCTTTATTAGACAGAAAAGCTAATAGGATAAATTCCTGGAATCAACTGTGTAATTTTCTTAAAGGATTTTTTTAAAGGTATTTAAAATCCATGGAGATGCTAAAAAATAAACTTTAAGCTGTAATGGCTTTTCGAACTTATGCCTATTATGTAAATCATTATGCAGTGAACGAGAGTAACTACAATCCGCCTAAATTTATGGATGAATTTACTGATTTGTATTAAAAAAATCTGTCTGAGCCATGCCTTTTGGAGGTTTGTCTACTTTTTAATATGCTGTTTATTTGACTTTGACAATGTATCAGACATGCACAAAAATACCCTTAACCTCTTGATTTCATAATGAAAAGGACAGATGCCTAAAAAAGATCTCTCTCTAGCAAATCCACATGGCAGTATTTGAAGGGTATTAGAGGAATATGAAAAGTGATACACAGCTTATAACATTTTTAAAGGGAAAATATGTAGCGAAAAAGCTGAACTTTTTAAATTGTCTTTTTAGCCACACTTTGTTTTCTTTTTGCTTTTAGAGTCGTTCCAGAGAGAAACAAATGCCCTATGTGATTTATTTTAAATAGTTACTAACAAGGAACATGGGTTATGCTTGTGGGTGTTTTTTCCTCTTTCTAAACTTATCTTTTTTGCTTGTGTTCTACTGTTTTCAAACTCTGTCCATTTCTATCATCTTCTTCTCTTTTTTTCTGTGTCACAGCCATGGTTTTCTCAGAAATTATTTGCCATCTTTGAGGTAAGTTCACTTTTTTCTTTCTTTCTTTTTTTTTTTTTCTCCTGTAGAGCAGAACTCCTGTGGTATGTCCAAAAGGAAATGACCCCCAGCATTCCTGGGGTCAGGTTTCCTGAAAAGGGCTGTGAAACTTCCAGAAACTGCAGTAACTTTTCTCCAAATTTGAAATTATGTACAAGCAAAATCTGTTTACAGAAATAGTCATGAGTTGAAATTAAGCAATTTTCTCCTTCCTCTTTAAAAGAATCCATTGACAAATGAAGTTAGAATTTGAATTGCAGATATTCATGAAAATAACCAGCAGGCCTTGTACTATCACACAGGACTGTATTTTTAGTGCATCAGTGAAGGGATGACAAAATCTATCACTTCAGAATCTTATCAGCCTTCATAAACTGATCAATTAGGAAAACCATCATTATCATCAATCAGCAACTACCCACCACTATGAAAATAAATTTTAGTTGGTTCTCACAGTAAAGTTGATTTGAAGGGTATGGATATAACATCATACTGCAGTTCTCTTGTACTCTGCATTTTCCATAGTATTAACACAGTGATAAGTTTTATAGAAGTGCTTTATCAATGTTATAAAAGTGGTCTACACTTTCAATTTACTATTACTCTATATTTCATGCAATTTCTAAAACTGTAGTAGTAGAAATTATAATTCTAAGCAAATTTAATTTGCTCATATTTTGCAGAGCTTAATAGATAAATGTCACAAAAAATTGCTTTCAGATATTTTGGTAAATGTCATTCTTTAGTTGCTCTATTTCTTGTGTTAAATTTATGCTTAGGTTTCAAAGCATCATATAGTGGTCTATGTTTGGATTTTGAAGGAACTATTATTTTGTCATCAAAAAGAATCTTCTCATCGTGATGTCTTCGTTACATAGCAGCTAACATCTTGGTCAACATATCAGGGCCTGAGTCATCACTCCTCCCAGGAAAATTCAGAAGTTAGTACAGCCTGTGCTAGGAAGTCATGCTTCTGCAAAAGCTGCTTATAATAGACTCGTATCCAATACATTGGATGATTTGTAATATATGAAAGGATCAATGGGTCACATTAGATAGAAGTAGATTTAGTAAAATTCTGTAGTCTACATTGTATCATAAATTATTAAAATTAATGAACCCGATCCCCTCTGCAGATTACTCCATTGCTGACACCAGTGTAATTTCATTGATATTAATGATTCACTTTCAGTTTCACCATGATGTAAAAGTGGAATAATAGCATGATGATTCAGGTCTAATACTGTTAAATTAGCAGCACCATTTACATTAACAGATAGCAGGCGAAGAGGTCTTGCTTCATACATTCAACCCAAGTGATTAGGGAGTTCTTTTTTTCTGACCAGTATTATATGGCACATTAATTTATATGTTTCATATACACCTATGTAATACCTTTTGGATTCTGATCTTTAGAAATGTAATTTTAGTCTACAGAGAAGTAGTAGAGGATGAAGGCTGTAATGGACGTTGGGTCAGAAACAGAAGGCAAGATTCAACCTGTGCAGGGATATTTTGCTGCACTGGAAACTCAAATATTGCTAATGAATTGACTAGGATTTCATGGACTAGGCTCTACCACTGGATGGCATGAAGCTGATTGCACTTCATGGCTAKTCTCCTCCAGATTCAATGGAATAAACAGATCTAGATTTGACTCTGCATTCTACTTTGAAATTCAGAGAGCAAAAGACTGACACCATCTGTGTGCACTGATAGTGTAAACTATTACATCAGCTAAGTATAATTAATTCATTGCAATGTCTTATCATGGCTCTTTTTCCCTTCTGTATAGATGAGCCATGTGTCTGGCATTCAAACTTTAAATAAAAAAGAAATATGATGTTTATGCCTTCGTTATTTGACCAGATCATAGCTGCACTTCATGCCTAAAAATATATTTTATAAGCAAAAAGCCCTGTGGCTGAATATGACTGTTAATATGAGTGCCTTTGGCACATCGCTTTGCTTTTGACAAGCTCTAGTTCTTAAAAGCTGGAATATTTTAATTGAAGAGAGTAACTATAAATCAATAAATTGATTCTGTTATCTARAATTATCTCATAGTTATCCTTGTTATTTCATTAACATAAAATAGAAAAGGAATTGAGAAAAGCCTTTATACTGTAAATACTTTTAAAAGCAATATAGTCTATATTAA